AAGCGAGGAACCGACTGGGAAGGACAACAACGAGAGCGTGTACGAAGCGGAGCGGGTCGAGTTTGGTCGTGCTAGGCCTGGCCACAGCGGCACCGGAGCAGCGGAACCGGAGCAGGCGGACGGCATCGAACCGTGGCGCACGGACAAACATCTCTTGTGTTATAATAATGCCAGTTGGGTGTGTGTGATGACGTCACTGGTTTTGTAGGCAGACGCGGCAGAGATGGCGCGGATAACCCGGGTGCATTCTGACAGCACTTCAGACAGCAGCTGCATGCCCCGAGTTTGTGTACCATGCACCATGGTGTTATTATTGTACAGACAGCACTTCAGACAGCAGTACGCTGTAGTCGACAAACATTCATTTTGGTTAAATGCGGGACAAGGGGGGTGATGCTGCTGCTGNGTGTACCATGCACCATGGTGTTATTATTGTACAGACAGCACTTCAGACAGCAGTGCGCTGTAGTCGACAAACATTCATTTGGTTTAATGGGGGACAAGGGGGGTGATGCTGCTGCTGTAGTCGATTTGTAGTGTGTGGGCGTGTAGTTCAGTTGTGAGCATGCAAACGTGCTGCAGGGATTGCAGGTGTACCTCCTCGGGCTTGCGTACCTTTTTCTTGCTAAAAGTGTGTGTGGTTTCAGATCTTCTGATGGCTCCAGCATTTTTGTGACCACGGACCGAGTCTTTGCTAGATTTTGGGATTAGCAACTGACACGAGTTTAATGTGAAGAAAAACAACAACAACCCACGAATTCAACCACCGCTGATAATCCACCCACCTGCACCACCGCAACCGGTCCCGGACAGTCCTTCACCAGCTCCTTGCAGTACGAGTCCATGATGCGGTACCCGTGCTCCAGTTGCTCCTTCGATGCCCTCTTGGCCGCGACCTTCAGGCGTGACGCCGTGCTGTAGCTGACCCTGAGTCCTGTNCACGAATTCAACCACCGCTGATAATCCACCCACCTGCACCACCGCAACCGGTCCCGGACAGTCCTTCACCAGCTCCTTGCAGTACGAGTCCATGATGCGGTACCCGTGCTCCAGTTGCTCCTTCGATGCCCTCTTGGCCGCGACCTTCAGGCGTGACGCCGTGCTGTAGCTGACCCTGAGTCCTGTGCCCTGCACCAGGCTCCTCTTGAGGTCGGTGCCCTTCATGGTCGGGTTGCTGACCATGGCGGCACTGGCGAAGCCCTCGAGCGCAGCCGCTTTTGCTCCGACCTTGCCGCCAGAGCAGTCGTTTTGTTCCGGGATGAAGAACGTCACCTTGAACTCTCCCGACCAATGCCTGCAGGCGCGCACGGTCGCCTGGCATCCTCCTGCGGCGCCATTGCAGATGTACTTCTTCTGCCTGCCGCCTCCCTTCCCGGAATGAAAGCTACGGCCAGCTGCCGAGAACATGGCCGCCACATCTAGCCTTAAGGCTTCCGCGTCTTTGCAATGTTTGCCATTCCCCAGCATGATGACCGCCGTGTGGTGCGTGGGTGAGGTGTGTTGTGTGTGGTTAGGACCTGCCTCCGGGGGCCGGGCACGGCGGTTGGTTTTTTGCCGCGATCTACGGAGGAGGAGGCTGTCGGAGATTGGCATCCTTGGAGGCAATGTGCCCGTCAACAAGCGTCGGTGGTTTTGTGTGGCTACTGTGGGGTATGTGCGGTATATGGTGTATCGTGCTGCTATGTGCGGTATACGGTTTTTCCTGCGGGTTTTAGAGTCGTCGGCGCCGGGATTATATGACCATTTCTGCGTACAAAATCGACCCTTTCCGGGTACACCAGTAACCAGCATCGGTAACACCAGACAGTCTGGAGATGCCGCCAGCTACCTGGGGGTATCTGGGGGTGCAGGCGCGTTGATTTTTAAGTGTACCCGAGTGGTGACGAAGTACCCGGGTATACCCGTTTCTGGATACTCCTCTAAATTCAATGCTCATGTCTTTATTGTGTCGTAGGTCATTGGAGTGATTTTTTTGCCCCCAAGTCGCGCTCATTTCAGAAATTTTTCGATCTTGAGTGCAGGTTCGGAATATTGCATACTGCTGTCATGCTGTCTCTAGCAAAGAAATAAAAGGGCAAATTACTTCGTTCGCTATCGCCGGCAGGTGACCTCTGCAGCAGTCCAACAGTCGACAGTCTCGCGACCCGCTCGTTTGTGTGTACTAGAAGTACCTTATATGACACAAGATAACACACCCCCCGGACCGATTTTCAAAGCTCGATTACTTCACGCTAAAAAAAGATGTACAAACAAAACGATACATTTTCGAACAGCTCTCGACCAGACGGTTTCAACGCCGCCGTTTTTGGCGCTGTGACTATTCCGGCAGTTGAGAAATCGAGCTTCGAAAATCGGTCAAGGGGGTGTGTTNAGAAGTACCTTATATGACACAAGATAACACACCCCCCGGACCGATTTTCAAAGCTCGATTACTTCACGCTAAAAAAAGATGTACAAACAAAACGATACATTTTCGAACAGCTCTCGACCAGACGGTTTCAACGCCGCCGTTTTTGGCGCTGTGACTATTCCGGCAGTTGAGAAATCGAGCTTCGAAAATCGGTCAAGGGGGTGTGTTATCTTGTGTCATATACGGAACATGTATGCGTCGCGAAAGTCGCTTCGATGAAGTCACTGAAGTTAAAAATAGCGGAAGGTAGCAGCCGAAGAAAATAGCCGAAAATAGGCGAAAATGAAACAGGACTCACCGAAAAAACATACTGAATCGCCGAATGTCGCCGAAAAACGGTGCTTTTCTTTCAATAGTATGAAAAAAAATCGTGAAACGCCGGAAAAAAAAAAAAGTCGCCAGCGGGGGAAGGGCCTTTTTGTTGAATGCAACGCTCACTCCATACCGAGGATCATTGGATGTAAGTTTGCAAGTTTGGGCTTGTTGTGCCGCCGGACTGCAGGGGTTTGTCGTCCCGCCCTCCTTCGCTGCATCTATCCGTTGGCTGTTTAAGTATAAGACTCCTTTTACCATCGGGCTAAATTTGTCGCTTACCCATTCCCCACGTCATGGTATACTTCTGTGGCTCCGCTCTATGCGGCAAGCTTTTGTGGGAACGCTGACGACAAGGGCACATTTCGCCGGCGTCAGCGTAGCTCTGCTCGCGGTGCTGCTTGCATACGCTCCCCATCTCAGAACAAATGTTCTCCTCGATCGGGACGTCGGGACATTCCGAACATTGCAGTCTTCCTTTCAAGGATAGAACATGGAGACCTGCGAAATCTTCGATATCTGCATTAACAGGTGCCACAGGAAACAAGAGCCCAGGACTCTACTTGCTGTAGCCAGCAACAAACGCACACAAAAAAACACCCACACCAGTGGCGAGAGAAAGAGAAACAGATACACAGAGAGCGAGAGAGAGGGAGAGAGACAGAGAAAGAAAGAGAGAGAGAGAGAGGGAGACAGAGACAGACAGAGAGAGAGAGAGAGAGAGAGAGAGAGAGAGAGAGAGAGAGAGAGAGAGAGAG